GACGTCTTTAATGTAATGGATGGCTTGAAATCATCAGGTTTGAGTCCTTCATCTGAATCAGAATCGAAAGGAGGTTCCTAAGGTTGAGATTGAATACAATCAGTTCATTAAAATAAAAGCTACTCCTCCTTTGTCTCTCCCTTCTCTTCTTCCTCTCTCTTACTCTGTCAATGGTATCAAATACTTCACCAGCAGCTCCAGCTGCTACTATCAATCCTTCAGCATTAGGTCCGGCCTGACCTAAGGAGAATGCTCCGATGAGAACAGCAAAAAAGACAGCCAACATGTCACCAGCAAAAATCCTCTCAATAGATATGAGGTACCCACCAAACCTGTTGAGAAAATAATGAAGAAGTAATAAGTGAGAGAGAGGAGAAAGAGAGGGGGGGGGGGAGAGAGAGAGAGAAAGCTCACCAGAAAGCAAGAGCATAAGAAAAGAATATGAAAAAAAAGACAAGAGCAAGACTGGTACCAACTGATGCTCCTTTCTTTGCTCCTAACTTACTAGCATCAGCTAACTTCACCTTGTACCTAAAAGAAAGATAGAAAGGATTGAAGGGGTGTGTGTGTGTGTGTGCTCAAGCAGATGTGCTTCATTGAATTAATGTAAGTACATCTAGCTACATAAACAATTAACAAGATTTAATGATAATTGTTTAGTAAATTAGTATTCATAAGGGAATACCACAAACATTCCTACCTGTCCACTTCTTTATACTCTCCTCCAAAGGCTACTACAGTTCTAACTGATGATAGGACCTCTTCAGCAATAGCACCTGCACCAGCATATAACTTCTGCTCTTGACTTGTAAATGAAGCAGCAACCTTGAGAGAAAAGAAGAGCATAAATTAAATACATATACCTAATTAATACAGTAACACTTGTTTTTAATTCCCCCTTCTTACCTTAGAGAATACAGCTGCTCCCATTACCATAAAGGGAGTAATGGCGATTAATACTAGAGTGAGTTCCCATCCTCTTATGAATCCAATGACGAAACCAGCAAAGAATGTTGTGACCCATTGAACAAGGATGGTGAGCTTATCACCAATACCATCATGAATCTTATCAACATCACTAATTGAGAGAAGAGAGATTAAGAAAGAGGGTAAACCACTTGAATATCACAAAAAGTATAACAAATAGAAATGAAACAGGAAGACAAAAAGTGAGGAAAGCCAAAAAATTACTGTGAAACTTGACACAACACAATGAGTGCAATATTTACGTTTATATCACTAAACATATTAGTATTTTATAATTGCCACCTGGGCAGAAAAGAATAAGACCTAAGATTACATGGTGTACGTGTACTATGTGGTAGTACTATACACATCTACTACTGGCAGTTATACATTGTACTCACTCATTAAGTCTTGAAGTTAATTCCCCACTGGCATTAAGATCAAACCATCCAATGTCCTGGTGAAGAACAGCTCGATAGTAAGCTAACCTAATCTTATACACTTGTCTCTCACAGGCCAGTTGCATTGTAGAGATTTGAAGAAAGGCCAGTATAAAGGTAGCAACTGTTATCATACCATATAAATATAATTGC